GGCCGGGCGGAGCGGGTCACCAAAATCAGCGGAATCCCCCACTGGACGGCCAGGGCGTGGAGGTGCTGGCGGATCCCCGGGCGGACGTAAAGCACCTCCGCGCACTGCGGGGAATCCCCTGGGCCCCCTCCGGGCAAGGGGTCCCCTCGGACGGGGTAGTGCACCACCGCGCGCTCCTCATAATGCCGCGTGCGCGCGACTCGCTGGATCGCCTCGGTTCGCGCGAAAAAGTCCTCCAGGCGGTTATTCACCCCAAACGGGGAGGCCCGCACCCCCTCTTCGCGGGGAAAATCCCGCGGGGCGACGTCCGAGGGGTGGGTAAAATCGACCCCCGACAGCACGCAAAGCGGGCGCTCGCGCACCGACCGGGTGATGGTGTTGTCCAGCAACGTCCGGTCCATATCCACCATCACCGCCTTCTCCTCCCGAAGGTGCGCCCACAGTGGGGTGATGTAGTGGGAGAAGGAAACGAGCGAAAAGAAAGAAGTTTGGGCCGCCTCGGTCTGTGAAATGGGCGAATTTTCCCCTTTCCCGTCCCCATCCCCGGCGGTGCTTAACCACAAAAGCGGCTCCAAGGCGATCGCCGCGATGGGCTTCGCATGGCGGCTATCCACCAACATCGCATCCAGCCGCCGCGAGCGAGCAAGGCGAAATTCCGACTTCAGCCGCTCCGTTCGCCACTGAGAGGCCTCCACATCAGTCAGCGCGCGGGAAGGCGGATCGGCCGGGATCACCCCCTCAGCAGCCCCAGGAGTTGGGGGCTTTCCCGGCCCCGCCCGATCCCCCCCGCCCTCGCCATAATCCAAGGCGTCGAGCTTCCGGACTACGGCTCCGGCGTCCGCCGGTTGGTCCGCGGGAAGTTTCCCCTGCAGCCATGAAATCTCCCCTTGCACGCCGAGGTGCTCGTATTGGTAAAACGAGAAATGGTTGGACTCATCGTCCGAGAGGGTGCCGTGGGCGGCGTCGGGGTCGTCCTCGGCGGGGGACCAATGAAGACGATCGTGAAAGCCGTGATGGGCGCGACTCTCGCGGACCGCGCAGACCACCACCTCGGTGGTCGCCAGAAGCGCCTCGTACAAGAGAACTCGGCCTTTGTGGTTCACCGCCGCCCCGGCGGATGCGCCGAGCGGGGCATTGGGATCGACGTGGGACGTGCGGTCACCCCCCCCGTACGGGTCGGTGGTCGCCGTGAAGGTGATGCGGCCAACATCACTGCAGAGAAGCCTCAACGGTAGCGTAATAGAGGTCGCCGAGGGGGGATATAAAGCAGGATCCTCGGCCGGGGATGCTCCGGCCTCGGCAACGTCAACCGCACCGTCGTCGTCGCCGTCTGCGCGAGCAAGCTCGGGCGGAGGCGCTTCCCATTGGGAAACGTCGTCCTCCGGCTGACGGATATGGCTGGGGTCAACAAAGCCGTCCCGAGGCTGGCCGCGCGTACACCAAAAGTACAGCCGAGCGTAAAGTTCCTGCGCGAAGCTGAGGTCACCATCGCTGGGCTCTGCGGCGTGGTCGGTTGGAGCGGCCGCCGTGATTTTGTGGGCTTGTGCGGTGATCTTCTGCACGCGCCGCGTCGGCCCAAAGGTCATCCCGCTAGCGGATGGCATGCGAATAACCTGCTCAAATGACGAGAGCATAGGATCGATCGCGAGGCAAGCATCCGGTCTCCCCGCCGTTGCGCTCAGAAGCCGCTTCCCTCTTTCACCCTCGAGGGAAAAAGGCTGAGGCTCCGTTGAGGGGGCTTCCGAAACGCGATCGCTGAAGCGCAAAATGTCCTGCTGCGCATCAGTAATAGTCGCGCCATCGTTCCGGTTGGCTCCGCCAGATTCCTCATAGTCAAAAGGCATATTGATGCTGCACCAATTCGAGTACATCACGAAAAACTTCATCTCTTCCTCTTCCTCCTTGCCGGCGTCCTTTATGCGCTCCTGTTCCACGCGATAAAATAATTCGACGGGTGGAAGTCTTCCACCGTCTAGATCATGGCCGGATAGTCTGTCAGCAGTGGCTTCCGGGTGGATTCTCACCGGGTCAGAAGCTTCATCCACCTCGCTTTGCTTGGCAGGATGCACATAGCCGTAATGATCGTGCGTGTGCACTTTTTCAGCCTCATGCGTCGTGTCGAAAAGGGGTCCAGCTCTTGTCCGCATCTCTTGCGCTATTGGATCCGCCCCCACGTGCCATGCTCGATCCGGGGTTGCCTTCACGGCCTCCATCCCAATCATAGACAGACTTCGGAATGATAAGAGACGCGGCGTCCTCTCCTCCCCAGCCTGTCCGGGATCTCTGTTCGTCTCCCACAGCATAGTCTCGGCGTCTTTGCATGGGATAAAAACAAACTGGTGATTTCCAAAACACGGTACCACGTGATCGCAGCCCCCAACCGCGCGTCGGGTGATCACAAGAAAACAGTACCCGCTATACGTCTTTTGCTCCTCCGCTGCGTCGGGGTTCGGTACGGCCACCGCCGCCTTCTCCCGCTCCGAGAGGAAGGCGGGGGCTGGAGATACCGACAGAGAAGGATTCCGCCCCCCCCCCTCCCCCTCCTCCTTCGCCTCCGCGTGTTGGCGGCGGCTGTAGTAGCGGTGATACCTCGCCGAGGCCCCGACCGGGCTCTCGTCGTCCTGGTTGGGGACGTCGTGGGCGAAGAGGACGCAGCGCCCCATGAGCCCGAAGGCGCAGCCCGCGGGGTCCGAGTAGGCCGCCTGGTACATAAACACCCGCAGAGGGACGAAGAGCGAGGCCTCATCCGCCCCCCCGCCCCCTCCCTCC